TTTCTTCTTTCATGTGCACAATATAATATTTAGATATAAGTATTGCTTATATGCAGGAGAGAAATACGTCTGGTGAATAGAAAGCTCTTGAATGCATGCAACTTACATAGAATGAGCAATTAAATCCATAAAAGACAAGATTGCTTTTTTTCTTAGAGATGGAGTGTCAGATACCAGATAGTAATTTCCTAGATAAAAGCGTTTCAAGATGACTAGCGATATTTCTCAGCACACAAAGATAATTTTATCCATACTAATTATACATTATGCATTAAAAAGGATATAAAAAGAATTTTAAAATGCTTATATGTGACATGCATTTCAATTATTATTACTGTTGTTACTCATGAAACAAGCAGTGGCAAACATTCCATATTAGATATTCAGTATTCTTCCAATTATTATATTTTTTTCTTCTAGTTGCTTTTACAGAAAGGATAAAGTTTCGAGATTAACATTCGGGAAGTATTATTATTCTCTTCACGAAGAGAACAGTTTTGCTAAGTGTCTAAAAATTTGGTCGTATATAGATTTCAAAAAATTTTATTGGACTATTAAATTAATTATATCGAATATTCACACATATAACAAATTGATTGCTAAAATATCAAAAATTTTTGCAATATTATCATCATGCTTAAATGTCCTACATATTTATTTTGATAACAAAATTAAAGTTCAACAAAGTTATTTTTAGATATTTTAGCAAAACTATTCTTTCTGTATGCGGATTATCAAACGGACCAAATTCACGAGTGCGCACCAAGTCGGCTAGTGTTCTTGAATTAAAATACGATGGCCGATTCAAGGATCGTCTCGATCGCAGCGATGAGATGTCCTCAATGAATCGAGGCGTGAGCCACACGTTTTCCTCAAGGCGAGCCTCTCTTTATTACCTGTATCCGGACAATTCGTAGTAATTCGCGTCACTCGAACGAACCAAACACTAGTTTTTTTTTTCTTCCTTTATTTACAACACTTATTAAACAGCTCTCATCAAATCGTCAAATCTTTCAATAAAACTTTTCCAACGTTTATTCGCCTATTATCACGTATGCAACAAGGTTAAAGCTGAACAGTCAAATATGCAAACTTTAATCTTAATGTGCAAATTTTATGATTATGAAGCAACCAACACGCGCAAAATTGTTCACCAAAAGATAAAAAAAAAACCGACACATCGGGAGGAAAGAACGAAAAAAGCGATGTTCCTCGAGACATGTGTGTCACGATATTTCGACATAAGATTCGAATACTGTCCTGTGTTCGACTGTGATATAAACATTTAGTAATCTTTGAAATCTTATCTTTAAAACATTTATCATTATTCTAAAGCTTTAATCGTACATTCTTGACATTTTTGAATGAAAAAAGATGAAGGTCATGGAAACTGAAGGACTGGTCACTCATAATATATACGCAATTTCATATCATACCAAGGGATTGCAAAATTTCATCTTTTCCATTTTCTGTCTTTCGTTCCTTCCTTTTCTTTTTGTTTTCTTTCTTGTTCAAGAGTACATTTTCTCCCCTATTACGAATGGTTGTCCGATCGATGCCCATAAATGCTGATCGTCGATCAGCCGAGCTGTCAGTCCAGGAATCCAGAAATCCTGCACGTGCGGATGTCGTCGGATCGACGTGTGCCGGATTTCTATGGGAATCCAGAACAATGTGTCGATTACGTGACATCGATGTGAAATGTCTCCCCCGCGTTCCGATTGGATTGTATTCCTATCGAAAGTAATGCGCCTCGTTCTATCAGTTCCGTTATTTAATGTAAATAAGCGGATACACGGGATAGACGCGTCTCTCATAACGATATTCTAAGGCTAAGGCTGGCTATCCCAGCATGGCTTTCACGAAGATACTTTTGGAACGGATATGGTGTGTTATTTGAATTATTACCGGGGCCAAGGATTGCCGCGAGTGGTCACGCTACCAACAAATTTAATTACGCTGATCGAGGGTTAATTTGTACGGCGTACACCCTTGAACTTTTTTAGGCGTCCGACATTCGAGAGCCATTGATGCCTCGGGCATGTTTATCATTCTGGAAATTGGCACGAGCGTCCCCCGATTTATTTAAACGACTCTCGTGCGTTAGTAATTTCGAAAGAATGATGCAAGCCAGACGTGTTATTCGAGGGACTGATTGCATTTGGAAATACACGCAGGGACGCATACAAAGAAAAAAAGATAAAGATCGATCGTAATAATTCTTGTTATTTAATCTAGTGTTCGGTCAAAATCGATCGTTAGATAATTCAACATTCGAATAGTTAAATTTCGAGGTCGAACGTTAAATAATTCGAACTGAAGATATATTCGAACAGTTTGAACTATTTGAATTCATTTTTCAAGGTCAATAGGACATACGTGTGAAAATAAAAAAGAAACGTAAAAATTGCTCTTTCACTGTGTTTTTAATATTTCTTTCCGTCTATATTGTCCGAACTTTAAATATAATAATTTAATATTACAGAGCGATCGCTAATTCAAGTTATTCGAACTATTCGAACTTGACGCTCGCTTTTTTGAACTATTCATAGTATTCGAATTATTCGAGTAAATCAAACATATAATATGTTCGAATCTTTTGTCTAAATCTCAATTCAATCGTAGATAAGATTTTATTAAATATCAACCAAAAGTTACTGATTTTCTTGATAAAAAAGGAAGAATTTTTTTCTCAATAAATGTAACGTTAATCGACATGAATTGCACCGACACATCTGAAAATGAGTATAAGTATCTTTGAGTATCGGTTAAATCCAAAACAGTTCCACTTTTAAATCGAATATCAGCTCGAGATTCAAATAACTTATATAATCATACTTATAATTGTAATTATTATGTAACTATAATTTTTTGTTACATACATACTCGGATATGTTGAGCTGCTTTTGTATAACATACATTTTCACATGCGCCCCTGAGTGCCGAGGTTTGCATTTTTGAATGGAACTGTAAGCGACGCTACGGGCGAGCGCGAGAGACGGTGAGAGGCGATCTCGGGATTATAGAAAGTCTTCAAAATGGCTTTTTTTCTGTCGGCATGTGCGCGCGCCGTACACCATGCCGACAGAATAAAGTGGAGCGAATTAATACTGCCTTCGCGAGATAGAGATACCTGATTTTAGAAGTTTATTAAGTAATTCCGAGAGGACATTTGCCCGATCGTCAGAAGAATAGAAGGATAGAAATGATCGAATATTTGATTATGTCACTTTATATGTCATCTTGATATCTCGAAATCAATGATTTTGAATGCTCGATATATCTTAATGTATGTTCGATTATGTATTAAGATATATTATGTTTATTCGAAATATTCAAATAATAAATTCAAATTACTTCAAACGTATGAACATGTGAAAAATAGTAAAACTGGTATAATACTTGAGAACCTTGAAATTGATATCGCATGATTGTAAAATTGCCTAAAATTGTTATAACTCGTACACTTTTAAACTATGAGGACAAAATTTTATGGGAAGATTCTTTTTACTCTAATGTAAAAATAATTTGAGTAAAGGAAGATTTGAGAGAGAGAAATTTGATAAGGATTACAAGGAACGTTATAAAAAAAAAGTAATTACCGCAAGATTTTAAAGATCCGTTTGTACGCGCATATTCATAGTATGATTTTATAATAGATAGTGCATGAATTATTAATACAGAGATGTATGCTCGCACTTAGAAAAAAATTTTCGAGTTAAGTGTTTGTCATGTCCATTTTCACAATCACTCACGATTTCGATCGCGTTTGTTTGTTCCGAGGACATCACGGAGTGAAAAACAAAGAAATAATGAGGAGAGAGAGAGAGAGAGAGAGAGAGAGGAGGAGGA